CAGTTGGATGCCTGACTTGGTGACTGGTAAAGGGGACAGGCTCAAAGTTGTTTGATGGACTTCTGAAATCAGATAGTTTTCGGGACAACTTTGGAGTTTGGACTCATAAGAAGTGGTGGTGATTTTATAGGGACAATAAAAGTATCACTAGTTACAGTGGGACATCTAGATGGTTTCGGTTCCACAATGGAAGAAGCAATCTGTAAGCTTGCCAATTCGGTAGGTGCCGCAATAGAAAATCTGGTTGTATCCGCAATCTTAGAGCTATGAACTGTATATATTGATATGTGCATACATATACATATAGTATGTATTCATGTATCATATTTAAGTAAATCAATTCAAGTACAACAAACTATACAAAACTTACCTTCATACGTGTACACTTTTCCTCATTGACTGTTAGCATCTCTTGGTATTTGTTCCCAAGCGTTGTGAATATGCAAGTAGCATTTTTTCGGTTGCTGCAATTCCATCGTCCAAATATTTTCCTAACTTCTTCTAGAAAATCAAAATTTGGCAATTCTTTTGCTGATACAAGTGTCGAATTAATTGACTCGGAAATATTTGATGTCATAGTCCATCCTCGGTTAACAGGTGCATACAACCTAGCCTACTATTTGTATCCAACTAAATCCAAGTATACTTTAAAAGGAAAACTACTCAAACTGTCCGTCCATAAATAATTTAAACCAAAACTAGCCCAAGGATAACATATTTACCAGAAAAGGCTCAACTATCATTTTAATCCAAATAATTTTCAGTTAATGTCAATTTTTTTAAAGCATACAGTGAGCTTCAAAAAATCGAGCACCTTAATTCAATTTAAAAATCACTATTAAATGTTAGTTTGCCGGATTGGGTCGAAGGATTAAACTGAAAATGCCATGGGCATCAATTGAAGCTTGTTTAAGCTTGAATTCAAATTTTTGGGTTTTCGAAATTAGAATTTATTCCGAGTGGGTGTTGTATGAAAAAATTGGGTACATCTTAAAGAGTGTGAATCTCAAATTTTGGATAATTTGGTGGAAACTTTAGGTGGGTTTAATTGAAATTTGAGCGAAATTCGAAGTACACAAGGTGAACATGGAAGAAGATGATATGTGTATCTCACTGAGTATATCAGTGTAAATTTTGCGTATCACTTGTGTATCAAATATGCATATATTGTGTATCTCCTGTATATCCATGTATACCTGTATGTGAGATACATGTTTGATTCATATGTCGGAAAGAAATTTTTAAACTAGATTTTAACTACAAATTTTAACTACGAGTCCAAATCACCTCCAATCTTCCTCAAGTTTCGTATATTGACTCATCTATATGTTTTAGTGAATTTCAACCATACCCATTGAAAAAGTTCCCTGTTTGCTTAATTTTTTGGAATTTTGTATATTTTTTTCTTTGCATTTTATCTTTGCTGCCTCATCCATGAAATTTTCTTTCCGCCTTGCATCTAATGTTGTTGATCACGCTTCAAAATATAGAAGGAGAACTTTGCATGTGATTCGTGGAGAGAAAGAATCCTTATTTTTCTTGGTTTTTTTTTAATTTTCATATGTGCTTGGCTAGTTTTGGTAAGTATTTGATTAATGGATAGAGGTTGGTAAGTTTAAACTTATTTTGGAAATTTCCAAAAGAAACCCTTCTTTCACCCGAATATCGACCTACTTGGCCTTTTCCATTAGCATATCAAATTCATCTTGGGTGAATGCTTTTGCCATTGCATAGTATACCTCACTCAACCTATCTATACTCTTTTTGTATTTCATGTATACGTTGTTCTAGAGATGCCATATGCAAGAAAAATATGGTACGATAGGATATATTCTATATTCGGCTTTGCTAATGCTCTCATTCCTATCAGATACAACGCACATGTTTTTACGTTCTCCATAAGCTTCCTTGAACTGCTCAAAAAACCACATCCAAGAAGCATCATTCTCTGAATCAACCACGCCATATGTTAGCAGGTAGAATATGCCTTGCATGTACACTTGCATACAAATAGAAATGTTTAATACACATGTATTTCTTACTTGCCCGGTCAGTTTATATGTAAGTGCTGTCATGTATATAATCAGGTTGTAGTCAATGGATTTACCTGCCCCATCCAGCGTGCTAGCTGAAACGAACATCCCATTGCATGCTGATTTGAGGTGGCTACCATCTATAACCACGATGGGTCTACAATAATCGAAACCTTTTATAAAAGCATACAGTGATATATACAGATACATAAACTCGTTTTCGGTTGATTTTTGCATTCTGATATATGAAGCGAGATACGTTGTATCCAAGATATATAAGTACCCCGATAATTTCTTGTAAGAATCAGTTGGTTCCCCCCTCAACGATTTCACAACCTTTTCTTTAGAGCACCACGCCAACATGTAACTGACATCGACACCAAGGTCCAATTTTACATCATCCATTGTATCTCTTGGCATGTATTTCCTCTTATGATTAGTAAATTTGGATCTAATCATGACCCCCAATTAACCTACTAGTTGCTTGACTTTGCTAATACATCTTATCCTTCAATGGACAAGTATGCTTGTCATGGAACTCTCTCACTTTGAACATTTCTGATTTGTTAATTCTTGACGCCTTAAATTGCCATTCACATTTTTCACACACACATATAAGGGTATAGATGCAAATACAACAACAACAATAACAAACCCATTGATTTTCCACAAGTGGAGTCTTGAGAGGGTAAGATGTACACATTATTACCCCTACCCTGGAAAGGCAGAGAGGTTGTTCTCAATAGACCCTCGGTTGGAAAAGGATGAAAAAAGAAGTAATAACAATTAGGAACAAAAACAGGATAAAAAGACGGAAGCCAAGAAAATAGTTAAACTTCTAGATAGTAATAGCAATCTATGAATAAAAAGATAACATACTAACAGTAATGCTAGCGAACTGAGAAAGACAAAGAGAAACGCTCGACTACCTACTAGATTTCTACCCTAATCTTTGCCCTCCACACCCTCCTATCTAGGGGCATGTCCTCAGTTAGCTCTAGTTGCGCCCTCTACCCCTCCTGATACCCACCAAGGCTAACCTCTCACACCTTCTAATTGGGGCTTCTATACTTCTCCTCTTAACATGTCTGAACCATCTCAACCTCGCCTTCGGCATCTTATCCTCCACAGTAGCCACTCCCACCTTATCTTGAATAACTTCACTGCCAATCTTATCTAACTTGGTATGCCTATACATCCACCTTAACATCTTCATCTCAGCTACTTTCATCTCTGGACATGAGAGTTTTTGACAGGCCAACACTCTTCTCCATACAATATAGTCAATCTAACTACTACCTTGTACAACTTACCTTTAAGTTTCAGTAGCACATTCTTATCACACAAGACACCGGAAGCGAGCCTCCATTTCATCCTTCCTGCTCCGATACGATGAGTGACATTCTTATCAATCTCCCCCTAATCTTTTATTATAGATCCAAGGTACTTGAAACTGTCTCTCCTAGAGATGACTTGTGTATGAAGCCTCACACCCATGTTCGCTTTCTGGGTAACTTTGCTGAACTTGCACTACAAATACTCCTTCTTGGTCCTACTCATCTTGAACCTTTAAACTCAAAAGATATATCCAAGCCTCTAGTTCGTTGTCAAAACCTCCTCGATTCTCGTCAATCAAAACTATATCATCCACATATAACATACACTATGGAACCTACCCTCAAATATGTCGTGTCAATGCATCCATCGCCAAGGAAAACAAAAACGGGCTAAGGACTGATCCCTGATGCAACCACATCACAACCGAAAAGTGTTATGAGACTCCTCCCATTGTTCTCACATGTGTCTTAGCTCCATCATAAATGTCCTTAATCACTCTAATGTAGGATACATGCACACCTTTAGCCTCTAAACACCTCTATAGAACCTCTCTCGGGACTTTGTCGTATGCTTTCTCTAGGTTAATGAACACCATATGCAAGTCCTTTTTTGTTTTCCTATACTACTCCATCAATCTCCTTAGCAGATGAATGGCTTTTGTAGTTGAATGAACCGACATTAAACCGAATTGGTTCTCGAAAATAGATACATTACTCCTCACCCTCCCTTTCACCACCCTCTCCCAAACTTTCGTCATATGACTTAGGCTCTTGATACCCCTATAGTTATTGTAATTCTAGATATAACCCTTGTTCTTGTACAACAAAATCATTGTACTCTACCTCTATTATCCGGGTATCCTCTTCGTCCTAAACATGACATTGAACAACCTAGAGAACCATTCTAAGCCTTCCTTACCTGCGCTTTTCAAAAATTCTACTAGGATCTCATCTGGCTCGGTCGCTCTACCCCTGATCATCCTACGCATCATCCCCTAGACCTCCCCCACACTTATGCGCCTACAGTACCCAAAGCCCCTAAGTGATCCAGATCACCTAGCATAATATCCCTATTCCTCATCCCATCATTCAAGATTTTATGGAAGTACGACTGCCACCTCCGCCTAATCAGTGCCTCATCTATCAGCACTCTACCATCCTCGTCTTTTATGCACTTCACTTGATCTAGATCACGGGCTTCCTTTATCTCACTTTGGCCAACCTGTACAGCTTCTTATCCCCATCTCTCTCCCCAGGGTATTCATACAAATGTCCAAATATCGCAGTCTTAGTCGCAGTGATCGCTAACTTTGCCTCCTTCTCAGCCTTCTTATACCACTCCATGTTGACCCTCTTCTCCACCATATCTATGATCTCTACTAGCTTCAGATATGCCGCTTTCTTAGCTTCCACGTTACCTTGGCCTCTTCATTCAACCACTCGCCCCCTTTGTAGTCACTAGAGAAACCCTTCGAGACCCCTAACACCTCTCTCGCGACTTTTCTAATACAGTTTGCTGTCATGGTCCACATACAACTCGAGTCCTCACTACTCCTCCAGTCCCCCCATAAACACTAACTTCTCCCCCAAAACCTGAGCTTTGTCCTTAGTCAAGGAACCCCACCTGATCCTAGGCAGACCAGACACAACCCTCTTTTTTCCTCGTGCACATGATCGCCAGTTCCATAACCAATAGCCAATGTTGGGTTGTGAGATTCTCCCTCGGAATGACCTTACAGTTCATGCATAAACCACTATTACACTTTCTGAGAAGTAGATAATCAATTTGGGTCTTGGCTACTATACTGTAGAAGGTGACCAAGTGCTCCTCCTTTTTCGAAAAACACGATTTAACGACCCCCAAATCAAAGGCTTTAGCACAATCCAACAATGAAGTTCCTCCTCCATTCCTGTCTCTAAAATCAAAGCCGACAGGCACACTGTCATAAACCTCAGACAACTCCCCAATGTGACCACTAAAATCTCCTCCTATGATAAAATTCTCGGTGTGCAAAATTTTCCCCACCAACCCATCTAAGTCCTCCCAGAAGTGCCTTTTGACCTCCTCGTCCAAACCCACTTGAGGCACGTAAGCACTAATTATGTTCAAAGTAAAACCTCCCACAACTATCTTAATAGCCATCAGCACGCCATTCACCTTCCTAACCTCTACCACTAGCTCTCTAAGATTTCTATCAACTAAGATGCCTACCCCATTCTCCTCCCTCACCCCTCCCGAGTACCACAAGTTATACCCGTCTGCATCTCGAGCCTTAGTACCTACCCATCTAGTCTCCTGGACACATGCTATGTTGATCCTCCTCTTCTAGAGAATCTTTGCTAATTCAATAGACTTCCTTGTCAATATCCCTATGTTCGAGGATCTAATTCTTAGCCTAGAGGTTCGCCTTTCCTCTTTACTACCCTTTCCCCCTACCCCACGCCCCGTCCGAGGACATGACCTTACTCTATCATCACTCACCCCAGCCACTATACTACCACTAGACCAGCAAAGAACTACAGTAAGGAAATACTACTACTCAGTCTCAAAAGCATATCAAGAATGTAAACTACTTAGCAAGAACACAACCAACAGGAAGGCTTCCCAAAAATCGACAAGTAGCAGACAAATTAGAGAAACAAAGTATAATAAATCAAGTCAATGCAAATTAATTCCAACGATGAACAATAAGGGATAATGATGAAGCAAGAATATAAACTACTTAGCAAGAATACACCAACAGGAGGGCTTCCCAAAACTCGACAAAGCATACAAAATAAAGCAACAGAGTATAGTAAATCAAGAAATGAAGGAACCTAGATTGTAGATGGGCTGCTAAACCAAAAGTTGTCACTTCTTGGGAGCGAAATTGATGTAGAAGAACCTGGTTGGAGGGCACCAGAAATCCGCCGATAGACTGACCGGATAGGTTGGACCTCAAGGAACAAGCAGGTGTTGATACCCAATCTTTCCCTCATTTTAAACTATATATACATATACTTTCAAAATAGTGCATATGCATCATCATTTTGGTTTATGAGCACACATAAGCATTTTACAATTTTTCATAATTTTTAAAGGCTTTAAATCAATTTTATTTCTGCATTTTATCCAATAATTACCCTCCTAATTATTTTTTATGATGATTTAATCATCTAAACTTATCATTTGTACCAATGTGAGGACTTAAATATTTTCAGTGCATTTCTTATAATTACATTTTTGTATTTTTAGGGCTAAATTGCACATTTTATAATAATTGCCCATATGCATGTATAATTACATTATTTATGAAGAAAATGACTTTTTACAATTTTATAATGTTAAGTAATTATTTTAAATAATTTTAGTGCACAAATGATATTTTATTATTTATTAATTGCTTTTATAAATTATTTATTTATTAAATATTGGGTATTTAAAAACTAACCTAAATTCCTATTCAATTTCGGGCCTAATAACCTAGCTCAATTATCCCATACACTAACCCAATTACCCAGGCCCAAAACAAAATCCCCTTGTTTTTCAACCCAACCAGTAACCCATTTACACGACCCGCCCCGATCCTGTTTAAAATCCTGGCCGTTGATCGCTAAGATCAACGACCTACCATTAACCTACCCCTTTTAATTATTCCCCGTTCACCCAAAACCCTAACCCATTTGCCCCATTACCCACCGCCCTCATATGCTCTATACTCTCTCTTCTTCTCTGCAAACCCTAGCGCCGTTAACCTATAATCCTCTGAATCCATGGCTTAACACGTTCCTAGTTTACTTTTAAGTATCACTCTATTAACTTCTGCATTTAATTACTCTTAATATTACTAGTTCCGAGATTATCTATGCCTAATTGGGTAATTTGAATCTTCCTAAGACTTTTTAGTTAGTGTGTTGATGCCTGAATATTCATGAATCTATTCACTTGCTTAGAATCTCTATGATGAATGGCTCACATCTGTAGTAATTTGTGTTAAGACTTTCAGTGTTAGACATAATTTGCCTCTCTACCATTATGTCAATCAGCATGCCCACTCCATCACATACCCCTTTAGTATTTTCTTGTGATTTAGAACAGGTACCTTAGCATGTTTGAATTGTTACTGGGAGGTGTTAGGCTAAACCTTTGGTGCCAACTGGATGATCTTCTATTAATGCTTGAATGCCCATATCTGTTACTTGACATGAGTTTACCTTCCATTCCGTCCAGAATTTCTGTAGAGATGTTTTGTCATATGTTATGTGTCTGTGATCTTACCCCTTTGCTAACATGATGCCCTGTTCCTTCTGTGATTACTTGGCTTATCACAATGCTGCCTTGTTTCTTATATACTTAGCATAATTTCCAACCATGTTTCAACCTGTTTAGTAATGTGCATCTGTGTGTAATAATCCTTGTCAATCCTGCAAGCATGTTCTTTCCTTAACTTTTTCATCATGTGACTGCTTCTATGCTAAGTGTTGAATCTGTATTCTCAGTTTGCATTAAGCTTGTTCTTTAGTTCTATGATTTAATCAAGTGTCTGCCTAGTTTGCTCAGTTTGGTTGTGTCTGTTAAAACCCTTTAGTTCCTGTTTCTTAATTTTGGGTCCTTTCTTTCACCTGTCACCTAAGTTCTTTGAATCCCATTTTTGCCGGCTGAAAGCCAAGGCTACTTAGGTTCTGTCCTTCGACCTCCCGAGTATGAGCACTGCCCTGGGTTCTTGAAGCCCTTGGGAACTATGACAAACTGGGGTCTTGGTTCTATATGCTCAACTCTGTTTTAAGACCACTGGGGGAATCCCACAAGTCCTGGCTGCCTTATGTCTTTGAATATGTAATTTTGGGACTATTCTGAATTGCGAGAATGAAGGCCTGGCTTGGCCAGGAATACCTTTGGGCCTGCTGTAGGCTCCCTATACCTATTCTACTTTGTAATTTATTCTATTCATTCTGGGTCTGTAATAATTCTTGTAATAATATTTTGGGGTATTAGTGAAATCGGGAAAGGGACTTTTATCTTATACTTGCATCAAAATAGGTAGAAATCCTGCCTATAGGTTCATTACTTAGTTAAAATATGCAATTATGTTCAAACATGTTTCAGCTATCATTTGTTAGAAATCATACCTATAGGTATTTTATCTTTGCTCAAAACGTGTTACTTTCTATGTCATTGTAGAAATCCTGCCTATAGGTTCTTCATTTGGTTCAAATATGCTCTATGCCTGCTTGTTAGAAATCATGCCTATAGGATCCAAAGTCAGTTTTAATTATAGAAATCATGCCTATAGGATCTAAAATTAGTTTTAGAAATCATGCATATAGGATCTAAAATCAGTCTTAGAGATCATGCCTTAGGATCTAAAATCAGTTTTAAGTATAGAACTCATGCCTATAGGATCTGAATCAATTAACTAATCGACTTACTCGTTTCTTTAATAGTCTTCAATGCTGTGCTAATTATCCTCACTAGAAATCATGCCTATAGGACACATTTAACTAATTCTGAATATGATCCTGTAATTACCACTATTATTTACTGCATAAACGCCAAGATATCATGCCAATAGGTTTAATCTCTTATACCTGTAATCAGTAGGCAACCATGTACGTTTCAGAGATTGTAAACTGCCCATTCATAAAATCCAGAATCACATAGAGATCTTGCCTATAGGTTCCTGTAACTTCAACTTGTTAAAATCTGCAACTGTCTTTGTGAATCAGGTTCTGCATGCATTTGCTGTCAAAGTGCGGAGACCAACTTGAGCCCTTATTTGCTTATACACTAGTATTTTTCATTTTTGAGCAGCCTAAGTTGAAGTCTAGAACTACCGTGAGATAGAGGTCTAAATGCCTCCTGGACCATAGGCATGGGACGGGTAGTGCACGCGTAGGGTACGACTTAGAATTGACTAGTGCGCTTTAGGTAACAACTTAAATATAGTAATTGGTTAGCAGGAGATGATAGTCTGTGCCCGCTGAATAATATGAATAACACCCCACCTTGAGGGAGTTACAAAGTATTATTTATGTTGCACGGGGTGATCCTTTAGGCTAAAAAACTTAGGAACCCCCATCTTGTCTTTCATCAATTATTTGTGTTTAATAATAAACTCCTCAAATTCCTTGATTTTCCTGTACTTGATTTCCTAGACTAGTTCATATAATTGAGTTCGGTCGGGACCCACAGTTGTGGACCTCGAAGAGTGCCTAACACCTTCTCTTCGAGGTAATTTTGATCCCTTACCCGATCTTTGGTGAAGCAAACTAGTCAAATAGAGTTATCTGCAAATAGGTTCCCTAACACACCTTTATCCGTTAGGTGGCGGGTTTCTCTTTTAAAACCCTTCATTAAAAGAGTTGTCACGTGTCGAAACTCGATTTCGTGAGAAAAAGGGGCGCGACAGCATGGTGACTCTGCTGGGGATTTTTAGGCTCTATTATATTAATGAAATGACACAGTTATTGGCATCAATTTTTTCCAAATCTGTATGTCGCTAGGCCTACCTCGGGCACAATGAGGTCCCCCAAACTAGGATGCGAATTTATAATTCTGCAATACCTGTTTAAATACTGCAAATGTCTTTTCAATACTCGTTACTGACTTGCTTACCTTTTTGTTTTCTTCTTTTCTTTATTTGTATATTCCCATCCCCTAAGGTTGGTTCGTGCATACTGGCATCATCAGCATATCATACCAGATCTAGAGGTCCTCCACCTCCTCCTCCCCCAAACGATCCTAAAAGCAAAGGGGAAGTCAGAATGGATGACACAAGAAATATCATGAAAGACAATGCCTATGCATGAAGAGAATGTCGAAACTTCAGATGGTCGAAGCACTCCGACACAGAATGACTTGGTTTTGCGGTTGGAACAGAAGATATTGGAGTTACAAGGGGAACTCGAGAAGGTCCGTAACTTGGAAAACCTCTGCCTCACCTTGAATGTCCCCAACATCAACCAACAAAACACCATAAACCCAGCACCTCCCCAAAACACACAAAACCAACAAAATCCTCCCGCACCTCACCAATACGCCACACCGCCTCAAAATCTCAATCCCCCACCAGTACTGACTCCTCCGCAACATTATCATCAGCCAACCCAGTATCCACAAACCACTACCTATCATACTCCTCAAAACACACCACAACCTACCCC